TTTATTATGCCGCACTATCCCAGACACTTCCGAGGACAATAGGTTAATATTTCGCGAAAAAAGGATAAAAGTTAGAAGAAATGGGTTATACGTGTGAGGAATAGTCGATATTTCTTTGGCGGGATCATTTCTCAGGGGCTTCGACGTAAGAGCATTAATCGCGCCGTCGAAATACTTGTCTCGCATCCGAGAGAGCCTTGCGCACAGACGGGTATTAACTACTTATCACGGTCGACTTCGCGACGTTATCAATATTGCAGTCTTGCGCCTCCCTTAATTTCATCAAGTTCGCGCATTACCGTTCGCGAGCTATAGCGAAGCTCTTTAAAACTGCATTATCGTTTCCTCTCGGAAGGTCCACTCGGTCTTAAATCCCAAGATTCACGCGGACCATCTCGTAAGCGCTAAACTTTCGAACACACTGGTCTTTTATTAACTTTCCCGCTTTTTACCTCTTATCCCTTATCCCTGGCCGCGGGCGCATTCTTACCCATCGGCAAACTTTAGCGAGCTACTACCAAAATCGATTTTCATTCTCGCCGAAGTCGTTCGGGATACAGATAAGACTTAATTCATTTTAACATAACGGTGAACTCGATTCTCCGAATTTAGTCACTGCAATATTATATTGAAATATTATCGGAAGTCTGCAAAATAGTTACTCGCGCGCGCTTCTATTGCAAATCAAAAATAAAACAATTTATTGCAAACAAAAAAGAACCAGTAAGAAAAGATTATTTATTATTATTATATATATACGCGCATTTCGCATAATCTTATATAATACATTTTCTTTAGTAAAAATATAACATAAACAGAATAAAAAGTGTCTTGATAATGTCAATTGAATACGAAACTGCACAAAATCTGCGACCAATATATAGCGAGCCGTGTATGTCGATTTATGCGGAATCAATTTTCGCAATCTGAGTCCGAAGGAAAGCTGCAACAGTTCCCACAACAGTTTCTGAATTAATTTGTCGCAGCCAGATACCAAAAGAGCAACGCGGATGTTCGCAAAGACGCAATATGGCAGTACAGCTGGCCAATAAGTTTCCGAAAGCGCTATGGGTTGGCCGGCCGCGCCCTTTTGAGGCCAGATGCGATAGCTTGTTCTAGGAGTTCGCGTTTAAATAGTCGGTAGAGCGCCGACAGTTTCGCAAACTCAAGTTGCACGATAACGGTAGTCGTAGGTGTTGACGGTAAAGCGTGTCTGTGTTGTAAACGTAGTAAGTTTTACCATCGAGAAAGAACAGGATGACCGGCCATCCCGTCGTTGTCGCCAACTTGAATCAATCAAAGCGAGAACGTTTCACGAGCATATATATCCGCGGGGCGAACGAACGCGGACAGAGGCGCATTTTCGGTCCGATTTGCTTTCGTCTCCGACTCCGTTAGATCACCCATCGGAAAAACTTTCGACATTTCAAACTGTGCAATTTCCTATGCGACCAAGATACGAGACATCACCCGCTGATCCTTTGTCTCCGCGGAAGTGGTCCGCACTGGAATCTTGTCCGAGATTTAGCTAGTCTGCTTCGATCGAGCGGATCTCTCAAGTGGAAAATGCATCCCGGAAAGCGAAATTGGAATTGCGGAGATTGAAACCAATATAATTTCGGAGAGTTCAATTTTGGATGCCACAGATTTGAAAAATGTACTTAAGTTAATCGGAGTGATTGTGTGTAAGCCTGAAGCAGATATGATAACGTGCTATTTTTCAATAATATAATCAATGACCGAAATTTTAATAATTGCTATAGATAATTATTATAAAACATTTTTGTTTGAAATGATTTTAAAATTTTTTTAAAGAGGTTTATAAATACCCGTTATTATTAATGAAAGATTTATACACGAAAATTAAAATATATTTAGTATATTTTTCACGCTGGTTCTCTGTTTAAAGAATTCAATTGGAATTTTTATCTTCAAAGAAATTTATTTAACTTTTTTGTTATTTTAATTAATTCTATTAATTCTATCTTATAAAAAAAGAAAATAGATGAAAATATATATTGTTGTGTTGTTATAAGTTCTGTTTTTTAAAAAAGTACTATTTTATAAAAAAATAAAATGAATAAAAAATGTATTATATTATTATAACAATATGCAATAAATCTAAATAACGATTTCTCTCCAATAAAAATTTTATAAAATTTTTTATTTGTGGTAGCTATTTTTACAATTATTTTATTTTCCGTTAAAAATAGATAAGAGTTTATTTATTCTAATTTTTTTCCAGAGAGAAATGTATTTTATCTGTTCGTATAAAACTTCTATTTATAGAGTAATATTTATTTTCATTGAAAAACATCTTTATGTAAATCGAAAAATGTCTTTATTTAAAAATGTCTCAAATCTATACATCAAATGTATATAAAGTGTTCTTAATATATTCGAATTTAAATTCTAATACATCAAATTTATAGGAATAAAGTTTTAATAAAATTTTAATTGAAGCGATTGAAGATGTTCCATAGGAAATGGAATTTTATTTCTATTGAATAATATTACAAATTGAGAAAATTGATTTCGTGATTTACAATATTTCCAGTCGAAGTGAATTAACTTCGTCTCGGGGTCAAAAATTAAAAAAAAATTAGACACAGGGGTGAAAAGGGAATGAATAAACGTCTCGACCCCTTCATCGGTTTCTCCGAAAAATACCTGAGGGAGCAATGAATGAAAGAACGTATCTATGATACGAGTGGATACCTTTCAAAAGGACTCATGGGAGAATGAAGCTTATTCGTCATCCTGTCGACCGATAGGTCGCACCAACCACCACCATTGCACCACCTTAACACACCTCGGAGATCCTAGAGGGTAAACTCTTCCAATAACCAGAAAAAATATGTATCATCATCCTCCAAAAGAAATAAATTTACTATGAATGTGCTGGGGGAGTAGCGAGCTCGTAGATAAGGGCAATAATGTCCCTTAAAAGAGACCCTCCCCCTTCTCTTCATCAATCAAATGTTTATGTATGAATATATTCTCTGACTTGTGATTCCATTTCCTGATGCCTAAATAACATAAATTACATTATTCCGCGTGAAAAAAAAATTATGTTATAAAAACAATATAATAAAATAAAGCATCCATTTCGCCAGAATAGAAAACAAAATTGCAAATAAATTAATCGCAATTATTTTTTATTCTGGTCACGTTAGTTGGCGAATTCCATTAAAATTTATTGTTTCTAGATAAAAAGGAGGTAAACGGAGTAAAAAATCTGGCTAGATCGCAAACACATGAGATGCCTCTTCAGAAAATAAATTGCTTGAATAATGGAAAAGAATCGCTAGAGCCAGGCTTACGCATTTCTCTCTCTCTCTTTCTCTCTCTCTCTCTCTCTCCCTCTCTTTCTCTCATTCCTCTTTCTCTCCTTTTCATCAGGGCTTCTCCGACCGGCAAAACCATCCTATCGCGTGTCACTTGCACGTATCCAATCCCAACCATGCTTTTCTCTTTTGACGATTCTATGCAACGAGATTTTTCGCGAGCTTCCTCTGATTCTTGAAAATTTGTTAAAGAGAAGTGCATTCTAATTTTCTCAAAAATAGGGTATGATAAAGAAATCTCAAGAAGAGCCATCAGAAAAATAAAAACGTTTATCGTATAAGAATCTGACTGCTAAATTTTTAACGCTCAAGTTTATATATATTCCCTATTATTAATCCTTCGTTAAACACGTCATTCAATCTGTTGCAAGATTCACCTGCGTGCGCGTGTTGAAGTTTTCTTTATTTATCTGTCAACACCACGAGAATTCCGTCTCGTTTCTTCGTACGTGAAACATGTCCACAATGAAAACGAGACGGAAGTCACGCTAAGAATTCGTCACGACTTACGAGAGAAAAAAAGAGCAGAAGCACAACTATGGCAAAGCTGTGGAGAATAAGAAAACCGAGAAGGAATCCTTAGACGTTCAGTTTATCACGTTGCCAGTTTAACAAAGCATTCTCGTTTAACGGAGATAACGTTCTCCGTACAGGAAAGAAATCGGAATTCGTGCAACAACTTAGCTCCTAACAAGGATAACTCTTCCGTGCCAAAGCATTTAGCGAGTTTGAATTTCGATTTCAAAAATTACAAATACCATTGTTAATAAAATACACATCTATTTAAAAAATATATCTCTCTCTAACGCTAATATTTCATTTACAATGACCTTATTATAATTTTGTGCATCTGTTTTTAACGTAAAACTATTCCAAGAAATCCCTGATTTAAAAAAATTTCCTAATGAATTAATTATTAAAATCAAATTTTATTTTACTGCAAAGTTATTTTATATTAAAGTTTTAAAATATCGCATTATATTCTGCAATATAAATTACAAGATATGTTTCTACAAACCTTGCATGGTATTGTTATCTCTTAAACATATTGATTAATAAACATTAGAAAATCCGATATTTCGATTTCAACGGGCTACTGTCTCCCGCATTGGCATTCTTCTCGGAATTGCAGCTCCAGAAAGAATTTGTTCTAAACTTCAATCCTATCCGCGCAATAAGTGTCACTGATCTAACGTGCACGGACTATAAACTAGTCCATTCGCTTCGCCACCAATGCAAAATTTAATTCGGAAAGTAACCCGGCAGATACATAACTAACCTTCTGTCAGTCTGACCTTAATCTTAAAGAAGCCATAAAAATAAACAAGGGAAAATACTCTTGAAGGAAGATCACTTGAAATTTATCAAGACTATAAAAAATAGTGAAAAGAAGAATTCATAAAAAATTGCGTGACACTGTCATCGAGATGAAACAGTAAATTCCTTCGAGCTGCTTTATATACATATATAATCTGGATTAATGTCAGTCTACCGCAAGAATATTCGAGAGATGATGCATCAAAAGACGTGCCTTTCGATGCTGAAACCGCGATATATCTCGAAGTATTTTAATCCGCAATGTCTCGATGCCATATCGCGAAAGCGAGAGTTCGCGAGTATCGGAAACTATTTAACATCGGAATGACTTTTCAGAGTGTCGTGTTGGAGATGAATCGACTTGGGATGATGGTGGACCTCTCCCACGTCTCGGTACCCACAATGTTGGACGCCATGGCGACATCGAGAGCGCCGGTGATTTTCAGTCACAGCAGCGCTCACGCTCTTTGCAATTCCTCGCGAAATGTGCCTGACCACGCGCTGCAAACTTTGGTAAGTCCCTCGATAACGAAACAGTCAATGATAATAAATGCATGTAACGTTTTAATTCGAAGTGGATACATATATAGTTTTTTCAGATTTAATGATTCTATGTTGGTTTATGCTCAATAAATATTGTATAATAGTTTATATGTTATATGAACTCTAAATTTCGTAAATTATATTATATAATAGTCACATACTAGAATATGTATTTTTTCTATGATTTATTCATAATTCAGAAATCGCATTAAACGAAACATGAATGTTTTTTTTGCAGGCGCAGACCGGTGGTATAGTCATGGTATCCTTCTATCCCCATTTTATCAGCTGTGGCGAAAAATCGACGCTCGAGGATGTAGCAGGTGAGTGATAAGAATTGTTCAATTTTAATTATTAATACACTCGTATTTGGGCACAACTTGATATCGGAACTCGTAAAAACGGATATTACTGTGTCAGTTCATTTGCACATCACGATGCGTTAATAAAATTTTCGAAAATGAAATCCAATTATCTGTAGGTATTATACATGCTTAAAGCGCATGATATTTGTTTACCGAAATGTACCATTATCTCGAAATTTTTGAAATAAAACAACGTGCGTATGCAATTCGTTATGACGTCTGATAGAATCAGCTATTTCCCGCATTTATATATATTTCCGCGTCTGTATTCTTTTCGGAATGAGATAAATTGGGGCATTGAATAAAATTTTCTTCATTAGCTTCTTTCTCTCTAGTATAATCAACGTTACTTTGACGCGCTTTTATCTTTTGCAACTCTGAGCACGCGATGACAATCGCCTGCTCTTATATTCCACAGTAAAGGGTAATTGAGAAGATTATCGAACTTAGTTTCTTTTTTCACGACTGATATAGTTTCCGCGATTAAGCCACGGCTTTCAAAGTCACCGGTGATGTCGCAAAGCGAACATCTCCAAAACTCTCTCTGCTAAAGCGGCTAGATTAGCGTTAGGTGCCAATTTCAAACAGATTGCTTATTTGCATTATTGTCGAGCCGCTTAAAGTTTCAAAGGCATTAACATTTGAAACCGCATCGCTAATACAAACGGCTTTGTCTATATATATGTGTGTGTGTATATATATATATCTAACACAATTAGATATACAGATCATAGAAACGGAATATTAATTGAGAATATATGTAGCCATGATATACTCTGAGATTAAATTGAAATGGAATATTATATTTCGAAATGCGAGTCGATTTAAATTATTAATTTAAATAACCAAGCAACGTAACTGGAAAAAAAGATAAAAATCTTTTCCATTTTAGTATAATGGTGTAACTTTTCCCATGTCATTTCAAGTATGCCACGTTTGATAAAGTTAACTCAACACTTTCGAGCGAGATCGATTGCGAAGCCGAGGCCATCGTGTGTGTGTGTGTGTGCAAAGCCGTAATCCAAAGTTCACACTTTGCGCGGCCAAACCGCGGTTCCGAATGCATCCTGCGAAAACCCGAGCGTTTCTGCAGGCAAATGTGATAAAAAAGTGAAACGTCCGTGACGTTTTCCCGCGGGAGCAGCCAATTCCGTTCCGTGGTATTGCCAAGCGGTGTCAGTTTTTACACATGGATGCGAGAACGTGAATTTTCAGATCTACAAGAAGGAAGGCAAGATCGACACAGGGCGTTTACCTGCCTCTCTCTCTCTCTCTCTCTCTCTCTCTCTGTTAAACTGGATTCGAGAAAACGACGTAGGAGAATGCCATAATTCTTAATCCACGGAGATAATAAACGCGAGATAATAAATTCTTTAATTTCATCCATTTTTCTTTCGCTAATCTCCCGGGATCTCGCAGAATGCAAACTCGGAGAACCCCACAAGATTTGTAGTTTTACTAAGATCTTAATAATCCCATGTCGCCATTTCCCAGTGTTTCCATGCGCCTTCCATAAGAATAAGCAGATGCGGCGTATAATATTGCACTGAGGTACGGAACGCATCTCGCGCTCGCTGTAAATTTTATACGCGTGGTATTGAATCGCGCGGAATTGACAGATCAAATTGCGCCGCGCGTACCTCGGAAAACGCGCAGCAAAACAAAGGAAAGAATGAATATCGCTGGCCCGGACAATAATCGCTGGCCCGGAAGGCCGCGCATCGGACGCGTAATCGGGCGTAGTCCGGGTGCCTGAATAATCGTTTCCTTCCGTAAGCGGCATCTCTAATTGCTTTACATTGACTGTTACAGAGCCGCGGAGAAAATTATGTCCGCCATGGGAAAGCGGGGAAGAAAATTATGGATGGGAACGGGAAATGTGCGTTATATACCGGGTGCACAATTATAATTTCGGGATTGTGCGATTCGCGCGTTTCGTCGGATTGGCCATTCGGAGCGGTATTACGCTTATGATTGATTCTCACCACGCTCGCCGTTTTCCTACCCCTCGTTTTCCGCATCCCGTTGCATCATCTCGCGTTGCTCATCCAACGAAGCGTGGCTTGATCCCATAGCGACCGTCGTCGTTATCGCAACTCGCAATTCCCCGCATTACGTTTATCGAGTGCCTGCTTCTTTGTTTACAGTGCGAATGAAATTTTCTCGATTTGAGCTCGCAGTCTGCGTGCGTTAAAACCGTGCGCGAAAAGAGTACATCTACTTATCTTTCACCGATGATATACATTCCCGATTGCGAAAATACTTTCGATCCATATGTGCCCTTTTATTTAACTTGTGCGACACGTAATTCTATTTGCACCGTTGTCTATAATTGCACCGTTTTCGAATTCGAGAAATGTTGCAAATATTCAATGTATATTATATCTAAAAAATTATAATTTATTCTCATCGAAAACAACATTCAATCCATTAACAAAATAATATATTTAATGGCATATTTTTAATTATCCGTGATGGGAAGTATGGATCTTTTCCGTACTATAAATTATAAGATAGTATTTCGTTCCATGAATAAACTTTACATCGTTTACGCAAACACGCTGTTTCTTCGTTTCCGCTTTGTACGACTATATTGTATATTGCGCATGTTTCTCACATGAAACATCAAAATACACCTACGTTGCATCTCGAGAGACATTCGCACGTTATTCTCGCCCAAACAAACGTCAACTGTGCTGTTTACATCGTACATGCAAATCGAAAGATCTCACGGCAACCTGCTAATGGCACAACTGTTACGATACACGAGATGCAATGCAAATGCATCTCGCTGCGTTTATGACAACATGCAACAGTCGTGCCACAAAGCTTTAAGGGTGAAACATTTTACGAAAGTCTTTGCACAAACCACATCTTCACTTTCCTCTCTTGTCCTTTTAACCGTGTCCACAGATAAAATTATGATACAAATAATTTCCTAACTTTGATGAAAATATGTGGGAGTTGTGAAAGTATCGAAATATTCAGAGATACATGAATTTCTCGTTTTATTATTATTAAAATCCAAATTTTTGACGGGTTATCTGCTGGTCTCAGCATCCCGCGCGTTACATGATTTTCTAGGCTACTGCGCTTGGTAACGACATGACTCGACGAATAATGATCAATTTTGGAAGACCATGCCGCGTTACGCCGAGCCGTTCGACATATAATTTACGATATAATGGAGATAACGCGCGAGAACAACGTGCGGCACAAACACGAAAATTGAAATTTATGACGTTTCTGATATGTTCCGCTTCGCAGAAACTCGAACTCGAATAAAATTGCAATGCAATGGTGCACTCGGTTATTCTACAGCCTGATCAACTATGAATTATGTCATTTATTCGATTGATTATGCATGTTATATCCGTGCGAACGGTATGCCGTTATCCATTACGTATACTAGAGAGGAATGAGGCGAGCGCTTTCATAAATGCTTTAATATTCACTAGATAAATATTTCTTTGACATTTGTATGTGTGCGTTAAAGAAAATAACTAAAAAACAGGTAATGATTATCAGCTGAGATAATTAATATTGTCAAAACATTATATTTTATAAAATTAAAACAGTATTTGAATATTACATCCATATTGAATTTTTATGGAAGATTTACTAACACGATAATATTTGCAAAGATTAATGAAACCATATCATCGATTCGATCAATTATACCAAATTTAAACTTGATTCATGAGATATATGTAAGAAAAGCATCTTTATTAATTTGTCTAATATATACAAAAATAATCTTCTTTAAAAATAATATTCATAGTACATTTTTTAAAATACTATTATTAAAAATATATCAAAAATCAACGTATTGTTTTCTTTTCTATAATAACTCGCGATGGTAAATAATGCGATTCGTTGAATTAGCTGAGATGTGAAATTCGTTCATAATTCTGATGAGAGTATGAAATTGTTTTTTGAATTTTGTGTTCCTCGCCAAATGTAATTATACTCGTGATATATTAGGTCATCGAGATGTAAATTATATGCGCACGTGCGACAATTCCCGAGTTAACAATAACATCCGTCTGACGGATATGCAAATTTTCATTGTTTATACGCACATTCATGATTTCATTATACCTGTTCAAATTATTATTCGATTTTATCCATCCTCAACGCGCGCGCGAGAAGAGTATACTTTGAAATTTACCTAGTGGTAGAAATTATATTTACAGACCTGATTACAAAATCAGCAGTAAGCAGAACATAACTTGCTTAAATCTTGCATGCCGGATATATCAATTGAAGATTACTAACATGCTTCTATGAATTACTCTCTTACTTTTTGCGTTTCGATCGTAGTAATTGTTAATTAATTTACCATTCCTTTCAACTTATATAAACAGGAAGATGAGTTCGCGCTGCAGCAACGAATTACTTATCCAATTTACACAAGCGCAATATTTTCTTATATTCAAAGCGGAATTTATTATACGCTTCGCTCTATATTATGATTAACAACCGTGGCAACTTGAATACAAATGCAACTGCGGAGGAACATTGTACGTCAAACGTGTAAAAATACATCGCCGGCGGACACAACAATGGAAACGAATGAAACGTATAAGTGTAGGTAATTCTCTTTGTGGTTCTTAAGAAAAAGTGACGCGGTATATTAATCGTAGTTGAAAAATCACCCAGTCTGCATTCAGTGAGTCTGCGGTAGTTCGCGGTTAGGGTGGCGAATGTAATTTTCCTCGTTACATGGTAAATGAGTTCCGTATATCGCAGTACGTTAAGCGCAGTAGACATTACGACGATTACGTAATACGTGCAATTTTCGTGATATGTTACAGCACACATCGATCACGTGCGGAAGATCGCTGGAGTGGATCACGTCGGCATAGGAGCTGGATACGACGGGATCAATTTGTAAGTGTAATTATACGTTTGAAATATATAATTATACGTCAAAAAATGCGATGAATAATAATAAAAAATTTTTTATGCCATAATTAATTTTGGAGTGAATAATTAAAATAATAAGATAATCACCATTCAAAAGTAACTGATGAAAATAATCAATTTAACAGTAATTATGTGTGTATATGATCATTTATATGATAACATTAATATTATTTTAGTATCAAATAGAAGTTGCATTGATTGCAAACAAATATTACGATTTTTTGTCAAGTGAAAACAACGTAAATTCGTAAGCGCGTTTCCCTTTGCGTAGCAGTTCCACCAAGCTAATTGCAAACTAGTGCAAACGTAGGAAAGTTTTCGACTACCTTTGGATATAGGTCGGGGTATAAATCAATACGTACCGCGCTACCGATCATTTGTGAGACTCGGAGATAGTTAAAGTCCCCAAAATTTATGAGAAGAAGAGAGATTACTAGTTCAATTTCAGATAGATATTCAGACTATTCGGTTCGATACATCTCGCTTACAATTCGAAAGTAAGATGGAAATGGAGAGAAAATAATGCGTATAAGAAAAGTGTTTAACCAAGACGACTTCATAAATATCGTTTGAAGTCCATTTATTCCTCCCAACATTACGAAAAAAAAAACTATTGTACGAATATATTTTTGAAGAACTCCATATATAAAATCCTTTTCGCGAGATACCCGATAAGGTATTCAGCCGTTTGTTACCAAACGGTCGACATTATTTCCATTCATTATTCCCGCCTTTGTTACGCTTCTCACGCAGTCTGTTCAGTGCAAAAACAACCCGCGGAATTCTTCTTTGCCGCAATAATTCAAGATAGAAGTACACGAAGTCTGTTAAATAAATGTAAAAATCGAGTAACACATGACCAACCCTCTTTTGTTAAAAATACCGATCTCTTGTAGCGCGTGCATTGCTGCAATTGCAGCCCCTTCCATTAATTTTCACAAAAAAATGAGAGAACATGAAGAAGAGAGGGAGAGAGAGAAAGAGAGAGATGAATGAAGAAAAACAGCTCTAACCATAAGTAAATTGAGGGCGATAGAGGATGACTAAAAAGTTGTTGAGTTCCCGGGATCCGCATAAAAAACACACGTGGTTGTGTCTGATGTATATGGTAGAGGATTGAAAAACAGCGTGGATGCATCGAAGCGTGATTTGCAGACCAAACGATAAAGAAGAAAAACGACGTAAAAGACACGCTGATCGAACCATTGCGATATACGGTTTTCCTCGTATTTTTGTACAGCGACAATATCGAATACAAATGTGGGGAATCGGAAAAATAAATATGTGCAGTAGATATAATGGTGCTTATGAATAATTAATGACTGTATTGTTTCCGTTTTCTTTGGTCAAAAGATAAATTTGATACAATGAAAAGCATAACGTTACGTAACGTAAGGCGTAAAAATGAAAAAAAATATATGTACTCTCATTTTGAATATATTTATTATATATATGAGCTTTCATTTATATTTTTCGCGAGAAAATAAATTGCAAAGCATGAAATTCAGAGAAAAGCTGCAAAACTGGCAAACAAAGTTTAATAAATGAACATATAAATCATTAATTACTGATGTATTGGAAAATACATATTCTACCCAAAACTTTATTTTACACAAATTATTTTTACTTGATATCATATCGTGTTTTAAATTAAAGACATTATTACATATAAATATCTGTAAAACAATTTGTAATATTTATCGACGATTTTATAGATAGGAGAATATTTTTTAAAAACAGCATGGGAATGCAATACTTGTAATTATAATTAATTGCATTCAGTTAAAGAAATGCAGATTGAATTTTATTAAACTAACTTTATTGGAAGCAAATGTTTAAATTTCACGTTGTAAATATTTTCAATTTTTTAAATCTTTGATTGATATTGTGCAGTCGTTTAAAATTTATCAACTTTAAATGCGAAACAATCCACACCACACGATATTGTTTCGTTTAAATTCAATTTGTTTGCGGTAAGAGCACTGGACAGATCAAAACTTTATTAAAGTGGTTTCACATCCAATCATGGCAAATCAAAATTGATAACATGAATACACCGACACGATGGGCGACGTTGCATTTTTTTATTTCTTTTATTGTGACATCTACGTAAAGATTATTCTCGCGTTCATTCTTAAGCGTGTCACGGCTTTGTCGCAAAATCTGAGATCCCTGAATGCGACGGTTTCAAGAAGAACGACACGAATAACAAGAATGTACTTTGGTGGCGTTATACGAACGACCGGAATCTCGAGAAAGATGTGGCATCGGAATGAAAACAATGCTTGTTTCCTCCACCCCGTGTTCCCAGCTTTTCGCGCTACGAAAGAAAGAAAGTTTAATATCTGCCGCGGCAACTCGGGATTTACAGTTACGCCCGTAATAGAAAAAAAAAACAGCCACCAATCTTCTCGCGCGGGTAACACATTTGCGTTCGATAGTTAAAAATTATCCGATGGAAAAGCAAAATGTAAAAGCGTCACGCGTGGAAACTCGAAAAAAAAAAGAGAAAGGCATTCTTCCTCGTTTACTATTTTCCTTCTTTCAAACCTTCCCCGTAACGAGCTTACGTTGAAAATTGGAAATCCTGGGAACATTGACGGTATATATATTTTCTAGCGAACACGTGAAAAGTAAATGATCGATCGAATTTTTTAGGAGGACGAAGCGCATTTTATCCGCTGACAGACTTTTATTCGTATTCGCGGCGAACCCGCCGCAAATAAATTCGATAACGTGCTTTCATTGCAGACAAAAACTGTTCTCTCACAAGTATATTTAATTTCGAAGGTAAAACCGCGCGTTATTTTCAGTCAGAACGATCACGTACGGCGAATCGTACGGTGAAGCGTTCCGGCTGACACAATTCGTGGTTAAAATTCCAACGTGCTAATCGTAATAGCTGATATGAGCAGAGGCCAATGAATAGCTTTCTATAAAACTTTTTTTTTTTGAAAATTTCTCTGCTGACACGACGTAATATGAAATTTGCGTAAATTTGCATAATATCTTCCCTTCACAATTCCCTGCATAATCTCTCTTCATCATTTATTATAAATATTTTCTATAAGTATAAAACGCGCGCGATATAAAGGGTATTTATAAGGGTATTTGTATTTTTTGAACAAGGAATCGAAAAAACTAAGATATTCGAAAAGATTAAAAAAAAACTATATGATTCTTCCGAAAAATTTGGTCAACCTAATTATAAGCTAACAATAAGTAAGGATATCGCATTTATGATTAAAAGTAATAATAACTAATTCGAGATAAAAAAAATTGTAATAAATAGTAATAAATTTATAAACAGTAATAAATTTACACAATTATTTGCCAAATTAATTAGCAATTTGTCCCACGGAAACGAATCACGTAATCCTTCAATTTCATATATAGACCGGGCGTACTGGCTACTGCATTAGAAACAATTGCATTGAATCCGCACGACAGAAACGCCGCGTTCTTAATTGCACGTTAAATTAACCCCACCGGTTGACAGTGCGTGGTTAAAATTTCAACGAGCTAATCGGGGGAAGCATTTCACAGGGGAGCCCTCGGTCCCACGCGTAACACCCGCGTATGCGGCTCGCGGCTCATTGCCTTCACGTAGGAAATTGGTCCGGAATTCATGAAAGCCGGAAGCATGACACTATTTATTTTTCGACAATCAATTCGTTTATTGTTACGCTCATTGCATTTCTACTTCAATCGTTTCAGCGCTGTGCAAGTCGTTTCGCCATATCCATTGCGACGTAGCCGCAAATAAAATTCCGCACGGATAATAATAATTACAAGATTGGAATGATACATATTGAACACCAACAAATTGACGTCTTATTTTAAAATCAATTAATCCATGTCATTGTTAATCTGCTAATTCTAAAAATCAGTCAGCTTTCAAATCAAATTCAATAAGAAATTTATACTTGAGAAACGCTACAAAAATTCTGTTCTAATATTTTAATCAAAAATAGTGAAGCTGCTATATAGTCGAAAACAAAGAAAATCATCATCTGAACTGGGGGGGGGGGGTTCATTAAAATTTCAGCTGGCTAATCGCGGGAGGTATTCGTTTCGTTGACTATACGTCGGTAGCGTGCACGTGCCGCGAAAAGCAACGGGAATATTCGTACGAGATGGGTCGGAAAAAGCATCGGAGAATGTATTTAATTATTTCTAAAGGTAGAAAAAAGTGGGTCATGCGGAAATAGACGACGGGACGTGCAGGAAGCGCGAGAACGAGGAGGTTAAAAGTGGCAGGATGTGGCACGGCTGATAGTCCTGCCGGCCAATAAGCTTTTACGTTAGATTAAAATTCATATCGAGGATCCTTCGTCGAGTTTCCAGCCAGACCGGTTATAGTAGCGTCGTATAGCGATCGTTTATGGACGAGCGCAAAGAATTTAGAACCGTCTTATTATAGTTCTCGCGTCGCGCATAAACGTCGCGTTAAAACAAAGACGGTATATCAAATTTAAAGTTTCGGGAGGAAGTCTATACAGAGAGTGATGAAAGACTATATGCGCACAGTTTAGAAGTGCGTTGAGGAAGAATGTTAAAAGATAGTTCTCGTAAACATAAAGAGAGGAAAAGACCTGGAAAAGATTTTTCTTAAGTTATAAATGATTGAGGATGAATGATCTTTGGGAAATAGATACAGACAGATAACGAATCCTCATTCTTCGTTTAATTTAAAGCAGACTTTGTTTGAACACGATTTATATGCAATACTTAATTAATGTAACATTTTAAAAATTGTAAAAAATTGATAATTGTCTTACTAAAAAAGAAGTGGCTTCGAATTCATAAGAAAGATATTGATAAAATCATACAGCATGATATATATATATATATATATATATGTGTGTGTGTATTGTATTTTATATAAAAAGTTAATTGTTACATCCGAAGTCTTATCGTCACTTAACATCCACGTCACGATCACGAAAAAGAACAAAACGTCGATGAACACATCCCCGGTTTTCCCGAGGGGAATCGAGATCCGCGTGTCGCTTCTTTCGCGATGCGATCCACCGAGCTTCGCGCTTTTCAGCCTCGCCCATAAATCACTGTCACTGGGTTTGAGCGAAACGTATTTTCCCGTGGAAACGGCATTTTTGAATTCGATTCGGTCGTACCGGCGGGCAAATAAACGAGAGCAAGACGAGAGAGCAAAAAGAGCCCGCACGTCCCGAGAAAGGCAGATCGATGTCCGGTAACCGCGTTGTCGTTGCTCGATAGCGTATTTTTACGAGGTCCGCGTGCGCACGGACACGTATATTTTTATACCACGGAGATTTAACCCGCATAAATTCGCCACAGGGGTATCTCACCGCGGCGAGAAGTATTTACGTGTGCGCGAGAACGCGAACACGACGTACGCTTTCCGCGTACATGGTCAACTCAATCTCGTCGACGGAGAGAGGCAACGAACAGAATTGGGAATTTCGTGAATTGTGAATAACACTCGTGACCGTGATTAGCCAACAACTCTCTACAACGGTATTGCGGATTCTCGGACCGACACGTTTCGACAGACGACACCCACGACGAGTAGTTCGCGACAGGTTAATATTTTCTACAACAGTTGTCCAGGATTTGATCGATCTCCACTGTCAAATCGATTTATAACATAATTTCGCTTTCTTCATTATCATTATTTTTATTCATTTTGATGGACGATATTTTCTGTGAGCTAATGGAAAAAATTACATTAAAAAGTAATATATTGTAAAAATATAACGCAATCCAGTCGTATTAAATATATTCTGGGCAGACAATATTCCCATTTGTTTTTTCAACTGGTCGAAATAAATTATGCACTACAAGTTCCGTACCTTTAATAACTTCTAGATAAAATACTCTTAATCTGTGCTTCGCGGAGCCCCAGAGGATCCATATACAAGTTTTATTAGATATGCAAAACATTTAAGCTTGAGATAAGTTCATAAATTCTCGAACATAAAATATCAAAAATATCTATTGGATATTCTCGAAAAGTGCTCAAGAAAAATGAAAAATCTAACAAACGCCATTTTAAGTAAATATTACAATATCACAGGCAATACATCCGATTTCACAGACATTTCAAAAAAATAATTCTAGTTTTTATATTTCCATGTATTATACTTCCACCGAACATATCAGAGAAAAATAAAACATAATTATAATGAATTGTAAGCACACACATAATGTGTCTTCTCTTGGGTCGCGCGCGCTTATCCCGCGTTTACAGTCAGCTTATGATGATGGACACGCCCAATTTGGAAATTTCCGAGATTGGAATAACGGCTCTCTGGATGCGGTCGGCCTATGTGCATACAGTATATACAATTGCATAACTGCCAGTTTCAGCCGGGATACGACGCGTCGTGAATAAGTCACTAACCGCTCT